AGGTCTAATTCTTAATCTTCTGTACTATGGATATGGTAGATAAATTTCTCAATGGCCAATTTTAAAAACTATTCACTCAAACCCGACATAGCCCATTTCAGCCTCTCTTTAATAGGAAAGCTAATAACTTTTTCTGATGTGGTGCATAAAGCTCTGGTATTTTGTTTTCTTTTTATTGCCAGATGCAAGTGTGTTCCTGTATTTACAGTCAATAAAGCTATCAGTGCTATACACAGGTTTAGATTAATAATTTCAGCCTTTCAGTCTTGGGTATCAGGTTTAGGCAGTGCTGTGTTATTTGCATCCCTTGGGCTCATGCTGTCTGTCCAAGCAGCTGCAATGTTTCTGCTCAGAGCTGCTTCTACAAGTGGCACAGCCCAGTCCAGCATTTTCATTCACATTATTCAGAGGTCATGTCTTAAACCATCCAGGCAGCACTTGAGTGGTACAAATTGTTTGTGTCTACAAACAAAGAAAAGAAAGATGACGATCCCCAAACCCCTTCTGCTCATTCAGTTTTGTCTCTGATAGCCCTTTGTACCCTATTCACACTCTGACTGCCAGTTTGGATAGTTTCCAAGAGAGTTGATTCCTTATTAGGATTTACCATCAAAGAACAGGAATTTCAAAAGAGATGCAGTATTACCTGAACATGGGTCATAGGTGTGAAATTCTGTGACCTTTCTGAGCCATCAAGTCTAGAGAACATATAAGAAGGAAGAAATACTATCATTAGTCTAGATGTCTATTATAATTAGTGAATGTTTATATTAACTCAGAGAGTCAAGTTTTATGTTACCTAGACTTTTCTGTCTCTTAAATGTCTTGGCCTGTTTCTGCCATGAGCAAACCAGTTAGTGATCACATGTTGTACTTTTTCCCCCCTGTATTTTTGTAATACTTGCAGAAGACAAAATACATCTCTGCCCTAAAGCCACTGCAGCTATTCTGTGTAGAAGACCATGGGCTGGGTTTGCAGTTGTGGAAGAATGTGCCACCTCCTCATGCTCAGATTTATTTTTCTTTAGCACACTTTGACTGTCTCCCTTAAGACCGAGCATACAAATATAAATAACAAATAAGATATTTCACCAAATATCTTGACATGTTTTACTGCATTTAGATTCACTTTCCACAGTTTCTGTTTCATGCTCACTTTCCTTCATCTAAGAGCAGTCATAGTGGCAGTATAAAAATAGCTTTTAAATTGAGTTTTTCAAGATCCTTCTCTTCTGCTATCTCTTACTGCTTCCCACTTCTCTTCTGATTTTACAATTCTTTCTGCTCTTCTCCCTGAAAATCAAGATCTCCTTATGCTTTGCATTACCAGCTGTCAGGCATGATGCCGTATATGCTGATATGCCACTGTGTTAGCTTGCTTTGCCACTGTTGGCAGCACTCTGCTGTCATGCTCAGTTGAGACAGAAAGGACTGTTTCTTACTGGAAAATTAATTCATGAAAAACTACCTTTGTTTCTGTAATATAATTGTTTTGAAAGAAATTAAACATACAAAGAAAACTGAATTACAACAAATTAGTCCTTAATTTTATAAAGGTTTAAGTGTCAAATATGAATGAACTAAACACAGTGAGGCCAACTAATGTAGTGAAATTACAGCCTCAAATTGCCACATGTGATTTGAGCATAAATTCCATCAGCTGAGATGGTTTTTGTATTTGGATTTTTTTCCTGACATAACTAGGTCTGAGCAAAAGGGAATGCATCCCCAGGCATCTAGAAATTATCTCTGGAAGGAGTAACCAATTTGCTTGTGTCCCTCTGTGAAAGGGAGAGACAAGGTCAGAAGAATTGTATTGGACATGATCTTTATCCTGACATGTTCTTCTCCTCCACCCTGCAAAAGAGGAGGAAGTAGAACATCCTCTTCTGTGTTGACCTGTTTCTCCCCCCAGGCCTTTCTATCCCGGGTGCTTTTATGAAGAGGTCTGCTTTTTCAGGTCATTCTGCCAGTCTAGGAGTGCTGGTGGGCTGCTCTTCCTAGGGCTAAAATGAAGGAGCAGTTTTGCAGCAGGTTTCTTTCTCCTGGGTACAGGTTGTCCTGATGGGCTTTCTTTGATCCATGGCAAAACTGACCAGGGTGACCAAGGTGACTTCTCAAAGACAGGGTGAGGCTGCAGCTGTGCTTGTGAGCCAGGCTGACATCCTGTCCTGCAGGCACGTCAGTGTCACTGTCAGTGTGGCCCCTGTCACCAGTGTGGCTCACCCCAGCTGGAGAATGTCTGTGAGTGGTTCAAGGCTTAGCACCTGCCTGGAGCAGCCAGTTGGGGATGCAGCCCCTGCTCTGGGGGAGAGAATTCAGCCATTTGTGAGCTGTATTGTGGGGTTTGATCTTACTGGTCCTGAGCTGTCTCTGTTCTTACAGAAATGACTGGGTAAAACACACCCTTTGTTCCCACTTGCAGGGGATTTTAGGCTTATCTGCAGGAGAGAAGAATCAAAAGTCTTTTGTAGACTTGACTGTTAGTACATCACTAAACACATATACAAAAAGTTCATGGCATTACAGCAAAAAATTTGAGAAAAACAGTTCTGAACTTCTCTTCCAAAACACCTGTGCATGTGTGTAAACATTTTAGAGTGTGGGTATATAAATGTACATGTTTATTTAAATACATTAGAATGTCCACCTACCTAATCTATATCTTATAATTCATTTACATATAAAATGTAGTGTAGTTCAAGTGACTTGGGTTTTTTTTTCAGAAAGTAAATCAGAAAAAAAAATAAAATGTCTTCCTTGATGTTGAAAGGCTTCTATCAGCGTAATTTCAATTTAAATCTAATTACTTCAAAATGCATGTTTATACTACTCTCCCCTTCCTCTTTTTTTTTAGTTAAGCTTCCTAAGGCTTAAAATTATCTTGATAATTTTTCTTTATCTTTTTTAATCCTTTGTAATTTGAAGGAAATTTTTTTTTTTCATGCAGTTGACAAGGAGTGTGTTTGACACTGCCAGGGAATGGCATCTAGACAGAAAAACTACCAAATGTACAAGGTCCTTGATGCAACAGACATACTCTTTTTTTTCGTTTCTGCTAAAATTCATTTATAGTAATTTTAGCTGCTACTTTCAGCTTCAAGTGTTAATTTCGGGACTTGAGATACTCTTTTTTTTAAAATTCCCCCACATTTGCAGTGTCCCTATAAAAACTGTAGAAGTAAGCATTCAAGATACTGACAAATATTGTGTTGAGTGTACAGTTGTTCCATATCTAGAACTATGGCTAAAAAATGGACTTAGGTAGCTGGTATCCATAAGTCAAGGTGTTGTGTCAGCTAACAGGCTCCCAGCAGAACAGAAGTAATCTCCAATTCACACTGACTGCGTTGTGTTTGCCAATCAGGACCAATGACAGAAAGTAGAGAGGAATTGAGTGTAGAGATTCCTTCTGCACTCTGTGGTGGAGTTGCTGAGAAGCTCTGATGGTTGCACTGGAATACAGCAGCAGTGTTTTTCATGATAAAAGTATGAATTCATCATTGTCATAATAATCCAAAAACTCTGAAAACCATATCAGTAAATGAGCTCTATCTGTAGACCAGCTTCAGCAGTTCAGAGCCTGCTTATTTAATTTGTCTTAAGCACATTAAACGGTTCTAGGCAGGCTGCCACTATGATCTTTGAAATATTGCTGTGTTTCTTTTGTTCTCTGCTTTTAAATTTCTTATACAGTAAGACTTTCATACTCTGTTCATTACAAATTTCTGGATATTCAGACTATTACTTGAGCTTAAAGCCTTTCAAACCACAGCAGAGATTCAGTAGTGGGAAAGGGGAGAGATGTGCACTTTGTCCTCTCTTTTTCCATAGCCTGTTGACTTCCAGTGCAGACACCAAGCCTGGAGTTTCTGACTCTTACCTGGCAACTGGTCTGCAGGTCAATTAACCCAGCAGGTATGGATCCTTTTTGGCCAGAATAGGTATAAGGTTTGAGCCTGAAAAATAATGCCTTGGTCACAATTTTTGTCTGAAAATAATTCTGCATTATCTTAGAGAAGGGCCTTGTTTTTGTAAGGATCTTTTTTTCCCCTTTCACTTCTTGTCATAGTGCTCAAATTCCTATATTCAGAACTCTTCAGAAAAACAGAGGAATGGCTGATGAAAAACTTGAGTGATACTTTGAAAATGTAGCACATGCTGTGAAGTTCCAGTAGATGAAAGCAGCATGGTTGAAGGGTTTAAAACATGCTTTCATATTAATCTACTATCATGTAAATATTCTTTTAAGACACTGCTTATGGATTCCAGTTTTTTAGCTGCAACTGCAGTTTATTCAAAGTTTAAAGGAATATGATGTATATTCTTTGGGAAGTATTCACTCTCTATAATTTTTTTCACACTAGCTTTTTGGTTTTTTGGTAACCAGGACTACACACTGGGTAGTACTACACACTATTCACTCTCTATAATTTTTTTCACACTAGCTTTTTGGTTTTTTTGTAACCAGGACTACACACTGCTGTACTGGCAAATGCATGAATATTTGTGGTGTTGAACCTCTACCACATCTAAACACGGCTGTGCACTTGCAGCAGAACTGGGAAATGGTGAATAATCCCTCCTGCCTTTTGAGATGGTCGTATTTGAGTTATGGTGGCAGGATTGAGTGAAGAAGCTTGTATTGTTAACAGTGCTGAATCTGCTCTGTAAATGCGTAAGACTTTTTTTCCATGGGGAAAATCCAGCTTTCACCAGTCCTTGTTCACCTAAACCAAAATTTAAATGTTTTCTTAGGTTTCTGTTGCTAAAATTGTGCTTTATGTCAGGGGAAAAAATGCACAATGTTATGAACATTTCTGTTAACTATAAATTTGTTATTTCACTCAACTTTATAAGAAATACATTCCATTATTTTAATAAAATACACTTTTTCTTCATCCTTAAGCAAAACAGTATCCTGAAACAGTTAATTTCATTAATTTAATTTGGAAAACATTGTACTAACTTTGACAAACATGAACTTACTTTCTTCCTAGGTTTCCAGAGGAGTTGGCAACAGAGCCACTAAAATATGCTGAACAACTTCCTGTAGCTCAGATAATACATCAGGTAAGTCTGTCTATTTTAAAAATTCCTTTGAAAGTGAAGAACATCTGTAATACTTAAACTGCTTTTCTAGGTCACACAGAATTAATGTCCTTGTGCTGGAAGTATGTATAAACAAGATACACTTGTTCAGATGACAACTATTAAATTATAAAAGTCTCATTCTGAACTAAAAGATGCTTGCTGTATGACATGGTTAACACTTCAGAGCTACTTGTTAAAATTGTTGTGTGTCTGCTGATAGAAAAGAAAAAAAATCCATTAATTTATCTGAATTTGCATCTTGACCTAAATCATATTCCCCTTCCTGAAAAAGCAGTCAAAGTATGGAGTCATCATTGTGGAATAATTGTCATGATGAGTTGAGCAGGGAAAACAATTTCCCCTCCTAATGCAATTCTGAATTAGCACCATTTTTATTTCTAGCTATAGCAGTATCATCATACTTTCTGCTTTGAACAGGGTTTTTTTGTTGGCTTTTTGTTATGTGCAATTAAAAAAAAAAGGTTTATGTTTTTTCTAGATCGTGCCTTCTAATCTTTGAACAGGGTTTTTTTGTTGGCTTTTTGTTATGTGCAATTAAAAAAAAAGGTTTCTGTTTTTCCTAGATCGTGCCTTCTAACTTTGTCTTTATTTAAATGCAATACTGTGCTATTGATTTAGGTAAACTAATGAGAATGATGTGGACATACAAGCTGGAATTAAAGTTTTAATTGTAACATGTCTCCCCCAGTTCATGGCAAGGAGGAAGAAGAGATCTTTTCTGTGCAGAAGAGTCTATATTCTCTTCTTCCTCTTTCCTCAGAGATCAAGGCCTGGTTTTCAATCCATCCTGCTGGGTAGATCAGGTACCCAGTGTGCATTCAGGTGTCTCCTCATTCTTTGCTGTCAGCCACAGAGGGCTCTGCCTGTTGTGTGGAAAAACAGCTTACATAAAACTTGTGTCAGACATGACTGGGGAGACTTAGCATCCCCCTTCTTGGGGATGCCTTAAAGGAAGGCGAAATGACCTCTTCTGTTGAAGTCATTTGGAATTTTCTCAAAATAAAATGAATAACTGTTAAACTTTGTAGATGTGAGTCCTGCTTCAGGGATAAGTAATTACAGTTTTCTTAAGTCATGGCTAAACAGGTCACATTACTGTTTTCCTAATGGTATTTTGGCTGTATGGAATCTTCCAGGTAATCAAGTATGCTCTGAAAAACTGACCTGAAATTTGAGGAAGATAATGACAATTCATGTTGGGAGACAAAATGGTGCAGTCCATTCACTGCCTTGAGATAAGGAAAATTTACAGACTGCAAACTGGGACTTGGTACTGGTCAGAGTAGCACTAAGCCAGATAGGCAATGTCAGATAAATCTGTGGTTTCAGACTCAGCTGTTTTTAAATGCTTGAAGATCAACAGGAGCAAATAAAAGTGTACTCAGTCCCTTAATAGAATTTTGTAAACAACTTTTTATGTATTATTATTGTAGATCTTCCCAGATACCTTTGTCAATAAGTGTTTTAAAGCATCGAGTCTCATGCTGCAGGCAATGCTGGTTTTACCTTAAAGGAAACATAAGCTTTATTTTAAAACCTTAAAGTGTACAAGCCTTTCCTGCAAGTTGTAAGCACAAGGGATTTCAAAACTTTAGGCTGAAATCTGCACCTTCAGGAAGAATTTCTGATGTGTTCAGAACATGGAAGACTGGAAATCAGGACCAGTTTGTATGTCAGGAACTCCCTGGTGTTGTCAGAGCTTCAAATGACCCAACAGCCTGCAAATGTCACATTTAAAATTCTGTCTTCATGCCTGACTCTCAGCATAAATGAATTAAACAGCAGAGCAGGCAGCCAGTCAATATGTTCTTAACAGTGAGAGTGAGCAATGAAACAGTTTGGGGGTTGTTTGGAATCAGTAAATAGAAAGTGCATGGAATGGCTCACCTAGAGGAAAAGCTCAAATAGGAAACAGAATTAACCTTTAAAATGGTCGAGCAGACCAAATGTCATAGCAATATTTTTACAGCATTAGGTGGGTAATGACCACAGAGTGTTCATCTGGCCACTGTGTGTTACACTGCAATAGAACATTGTGTGTGGAAAGGCAAAAAGCTGGGTTTATGTGCTCTTACCTGTTTGCTGAACTTGCCAGTACTACAGAGCTGGAGTCTGCACAAGGCAGCAGGGCAGACCCAACAGAACTGCAAATGTCTTGGATGCAGAGAAGCCAGATAGAAGGAGCATTGTTTAGCTGTGGGGACAGGGAGTTTTTGCCCTGGCTGTGTGTGAGGCTGGTGCTCTGTCTGAGCCTGCAGCCAGCTGAGCATCACTGCACCAGCATCATGCTGAATCAGCTCTGCAGAGAACCCCTTGTACCCTTTCTGAGGGACCTGGCACAGCTGGGAAAGTTGTGCAGTGGCCTTGTTTATATAAAAAAGGATTTTTTTTTTTTTTTTCTCTAAAGAAGGAAATAATTATAAGAAACTAAAAAGTGACAAGAGTAAGAACAGTGAATAGTATTTGTGGTGTTGGGATGCTGTATCCAAATGGATGCATACATACTCTAGACATATATAACAGCATCAGTGCTGTGTACTTAGAGCATAAATATACATTAAAATTTCACAGTGGTGGACAGGTATCCTAAATTAGTATAATGTATAAAGTACATTTCAATTATACTTTTTAGCCAACATAGCCACTACTACTATCCAACTTTAAAATTGGATAAATTTATTCTCCTGAATACAACTGAAATACTCTTTGTGCTTTTAACTGAAATAAAAAGCCTCTAGTGCTTGGTAAAGGAATGCAGTCATTAATATAAACTTGTAAAAATTGAACTTTCAGAGTAATGCCCACATGAGACAGCCTTTTTAATGAGATTCTCTCTGTACAGCCACGCATACAATGCTGCCACTTACAGTAAGTTTATGCTACTTAGAAGAAGGCCAAAAAAACCCCCAAACCAAAACCCAAACCAGAAAGAGGAGGAAAAGGAGCGATGATTTCAATTCTGCACTTGTCTTTAGTCAAAACAGGTCTGGTGGAAGAACAGGGCAAACTGCATTTGAGAAGATTGTTTCCATTTATCATAAATGATATTCATTGCTGGCCTTGCAGTTCAGCACGTCATTTTAATAAAAGTACCTAACTTTAGTGCCAGTGCTTGTGCTTGGAATGTCACTGTGTGTTAACATATTGGCCTAACCAGGATTTAGGATATTGAAGAGACGTAAATTGTTATTGGTGTCTTACTGATGGAAGAATGTTTTATTGATGAAAGGCACATTTCAGCAGATAAACACCAGATCCCTGATGGTGTTATAATTGAAAACAAAATGAAACAGCAAATTCAGACCACGATCAACTTGCATACTTATTTTAGTCCATTTCAAACCATTAAGCAGATAAATGAACATGCTGTTAGACCAGGATGGTATTTCTGGAAAGTGACTTGCAGCCTGTGGTGGAAATTGCACAATTTACTTGAAATCTGACATGGTTTACAGTTGCAGATTTACTTAAAAATAAGGAGTTCCTTAGGTATTTTTTCATGGGGGGAATGTTACATGTAATATGCAATTAATTTAGATTGAGTTTCCTTTTGGAGATATAAGTTGGTTTGGTTTGTAGAAGTTTTAACCTGTGCTTTTGTGTTGCCCCTCCATGAGAAGGCTCAGTGGCAAATGCCTTCAGTAATTTCAGGAGCTGGCTGGGAAGCTGTGCTGGCCCATGGAGGAGATGTCTCTGTTCCAGGGTGTGGAGCATTGGGAGTTTGGCTCACTCCAGCCTTGGGCAGCATAGGGAGCTGCTCTGAGGGTGTTTGCTGCAGTCACCATAGGGAAATTAAACAGGAAATTTATGAAAGATGATGGCAGGGGGATCTCCAGAGTTAAAAATGCCCAGCCTGATGGCCATCAAAGGATCCTGCAGGGTTGCAGTTCTGCAGTAATTCTTGCAGGAAGGCCTTTGTTTCCATCATTTCTGTGCTTCTGTAACAAGTTTGCAGCCATCCTTCCCCCAGATAAAATCCTTTCGCTTTGAAGATCAATTTTCTGTTCATTCTCAGGGCCTCATTCTCATGTTGTAGAGGGTGGTTAGTTTATTGCATTTGTTGATGTTATTCTGGTTTCATGCTGATTTAATTGACAGAGATTTTCTTCAGCGGCATTTGCCAGAAATTGTTGAAATAGTATTAAGAAAATAGAACACACTGTGTTGTATAGATTTTTTTTTTGAAGTATCTTTATATTATCTATAACACAATTTTAGCTCTCAGACTTAAAATATTTTCACATTAAAGTGGTTTTATGTGGCTTACAGTCTGTGTGAAGTGTTCAATATGAAAAGTAACCCATCAGATGGTGATACAGTCTTGAAAACATAACTTTAATATTCAGGGATCACACCGGTGCCTTGCCCATTGCCTTGTAGCTGCTCTTTGGCAGTTTATACAGTTCAGGAGTTCCCCTCACTCCCAGTCTGCTTCTGTCCTGATGGTGGAGTCTTTGTTCCTGTAAATGTTTTATAAAGCCATTAGTGTTCAGAACTTTGACTAAGTATGCAAGGTGCTTAATAGCACAACAGTAACCCAGATTTTCATTTTTATTTTTGATGCAGACAGGAGGTTTTGTTTATGAATATTAATTTATTAAAAATTTTAAAGTACTTTGATAAGTGATATTTGCATTTTACTGTGTCTTTACAGGCTAAGGGGTTCAAAAACAACTTGTAATACTTAGATGTCTCAGGTTTGATGTGCAGAGTTTTAGACACAGCTATTTATACATTCTTTGAAAATCCATTCATGTAGCTGTGTTTGAAAATAACTTTGAAGCATAGAACTTTTTAGAGCTCTGGTCATGATTTTCAACTGGATGATGTCAGAGATAAAATACAACCTTTCACCAAAAGGTCCAGGTTCTGCTGTACCTGCTAGCACAGACACAGGTCTGCTCAGGCAGGGATGCTTTTCTTTGTCAAAAATGGATTTTGTCAGGATGATTGAAAAT